GCCCCCCCGCTACCAAACCCTTGCCACGCAAGCCCAACACAGAGACCAACTTGTCTTCTGTACCTTGAAGGTTATCACATAGATGGGAAGCAGAAATCGGTTCTTTAAGTTATACAAAGCTGAAGGCTTCTCTTTTCTACCATTGTTTTCTGGGGCTGCCTGTGGAAATTGGGCCAGATTGAAATGATGGTATTTGGGTACCGTTAGCATTCAAAACCAACAACAAAATTAATTTCTAAAACTGGAACCAAACAAATAATTGTCTTGGTTGTGTAGCAGAAAGCTCAGATGTAAAAAATAACTTCATGTAAGTAAGAACCACAGGCAAAAGTATCTTGGAAGGGGCTTCTTTAAAGTCAGATCAGGTTGCTCAGGGCCTTTCCAGTTCAGTTTTGCATTTCCGATGCTGAAATTTCTATTGTCTGTCATCCTTTTCATTTGTAACTCAAGGAAAAGTCTGGCTCTGTTTTTCTTGCACCATCTCTTTGGGGTAGTGGAAGACAGAAAGGAGATCAGTGCTGCCTTTCCCTAACATGTAAGCTGACTGACCAATGGTTTCTTGGAAGAAACCACTGAATAAATGAAACCTCAGTAATTATTGTAAGGAGTTGTAGGCATCAATGGCTTTTTTGCTTCCACATATATCCCTCTATAAAGCTCTCATTTATTTCTCTCTCTCTTCTTTGTTTTTTTTTTTTTTTTCCCTTAATGCAGCAATATATCTGGTACTCAAGCTTCTCTATCTAGGACAGATGCATGTGTACTTGTAAAATTCCTGTTGAAATCTATCAGTGCTACATAAATACACTTGTTCTTGGTCTTCCCTTCCTCTGTATCTGAATTTTACAAAAACGTGTCAGTTATTTTCATTTTAATTTGTCCTCTTCTTTGATGCCTTCCTGCACAAAAGTCTTCTGCTGCCACGAGACAGAGATAAAACTATATACCCACCACATTGTTCTAACGGAAGAAATTCTTTTTACAAAGTCTGAAGAAAAGATGACTTGTTTAGGCTTCAATAAGGCATAGGCAGTTTGTATCCTGTGTAAACATATACGATCTCAAGATTTTTATTTGTTTTTCAAGCATTTATAAATTCTTACTCTATTGAGATCTTGTACAACTACTGTTTTCATAGATCAACATGGGACTTAATCCATGGAAAATTATTCTGTGGCTACTTGGCTATTACACTATTCTTTTACTAAGAGTTATAAAACAAATGTCCTCTTTTTATTGAATGTGGCCTTCTAAATGAATGGTCCATCATGTTTGCTTCTTTAAAGCCTTTCATATTAGATATAGTACTCTAAAATACAAGAATCTGTTACTCAACTGTTTGGGTTTTTTAACTCCTCCTTGATTCCAGTTTCTTCCATTTTACTCTATATTCTTTCCCAGTTCTAATGAATTAAAGAGCAACAGTTGGCTGGAATAGAGAAAGGTAAAAATAGGCTTTTTTTAATTCTAACTTTACCCTCATTGAATCAGTACTGCTGGCTCATGTGAGCAGAAGCTATGTCAGGAGAAACTCAGATTAGAAATAGGTCTTTAATGTTTCCTGCCCCTCTGCTGTCTTCTGGAGAAATCCAGTAAAGAGGTGAAAACCTCAGGGGTTTTTCTTCTTACTGAGGTCTTGATATGCCCTAACTTTTTTTTTTCCTACTTGGATAATTAAATCCTGCACAAGATCAGTAGTCTTCCAAGATGTCTACTAACCAGCATTTATAGTTTCTCTTCAACTGTGACAGTTGGCTGGGGAGTTGGAGAAGCAAGTAGTACTCTGAACTGCTCCCCTTGTTGACATGACCTCAGGTAGCTAGGAGAAAGAAGAAGAGTGACAAGAGCAACCTTCATATTTGGAAGATGAAAAAGAAAACTCTACCTCATAATGTATGAAGGAACAGAAGTTGCCCTCTTTAGAGAAGGTAAAACTACAGTAAAAATATTTTTACCTAATGCAAATAAAATTGAAGTGGACAATTACGTTGTCTTATTCCTGGCAATCTGGTCTCCTCCCATTGACAAGGATGTAATTCAAGCTAGCTGCAGCAAACCTTAAAAATGTAGACTGTATTTCATAGAAAAGATGGGTTATGTTAATGGCTAATAAAGGGAAAAAAGTCTTCAATCAACTGCCGTCATCTATGAAATTGTGTGTTTTACACTGTTATTAACATACCTGCTTTATTCAAAAAGTTTTTATTTTTTTGTTTTTATTGTTACTGCCTTAGCTTTAGTCTTGGCAGAGACTTGGACTTTTGTTACTATAAAGGTATTCTTAAAAATTATTTCAGTTTCTTGTTATACTTCTGGATCTTCTGTCTTATGGGTTTGTTTGTTTGTTTTGTTTTCTTCTGCAGAGATGTATTTTTTGACAGATGTGTTCAAATATGTGTTTTGGTTCTAATGGTAAATATTTAGTCTTTTGCCAGCCATTTTGCTAACTAATTTAAAATTCAGCCTACCTTTAAAAAGAAATGGCTAAGCATTGCAGGAATATGTGCATTCAAAATAAATTACTGTTTATCATACTACTTTTTTTATTTAAATATTTCCCTTGATGCTGACAATTAGGTGTGCAACTATGTTAGCCTCTGATCGAATTTGGCTGGGAATTGTTTTATATCACAGAGGTTCCATTTTCTAGGCCATAAAAATCATGCTTTTTAATATGTAAGTGGCAAATATTAGTTATCTGCATTACAGAAACTGCATAGTTACTGTAGCTCTACGTTATTTCTGAATTCACCATCTTCCCTTTCTCCCCTCAACCTGAATCGTTTAAATGACTCTTTTATACTCTGCATTTTCTGGAAAATAATGGTAATAATGTTGTTCCTAAAAGTATGCTCTCTAACTTTGATTTAGTTGAGAGGCTTTCTACGCTGAATTGTTTGCAGTCTATACAAGTACTTTCTTTTGTGCTTATTTACAAGTCATACAAATCACTTCTGTGAAGCTCAGGGAAAAGGCAGAGTAGTACAAATTCTAGTGATTTGCTTAAACATACCAGCATTTTCAGAGTTTAGTCTCTTCAACCATTTCATGAAAACACAGAGTTCATGAAATAAGGGGTTTGAATTACTTGCTTAATTGAAACTAGGTAAATTTGTGGCAAATAGGCAAGTACTTTATTTGAAGCAACCTCCCTGCTTCCCCAAACCTTGCATCTTTGTAACAAGTAAAACATTTCCAGGATATAAACTTATGAAGACCTAGCTTTTAAAGAAAACTTGCATAGACTGAGGCTATAAACTTATGGTCATTTATACTTTCATTTCTTTTCAGATATACTGCCAACTGTGGATATAAATTAGCTTTTGTCTAGTGACTATTGAAAAATATCTACTAATTAGTATAGTTTTTTGAAAGGATAGAGTTTTGACGATTTTTTTTTTATTTTTTTTAGTTTATTTGGCTGTAAATGTATATTTACTTTTGGTAATACCTTGGTAACGCTATGTGTAAATCAGCAGTTATTTCTTGTGCTTTGTTAAGTAACTCATGTTCAGCTGAGGCAAGATTAACAATTGAATTGTTAGGAAAGAGCCACACTTGGTAGTTTGAACAGTTTTTACCTGACTGTGAAGAATAGCTGTTTTCTAAGTGACAGATCTAGTTGAAGACTTCTAGTATGCTATAGTCAAGTAAATGTATATTCATTGATATCATTTGCTATCTCTTACTGAAGCACTTTGGTTTCCTCTAACATTACAGTACTCCGTGTCTGTGCCAACATGGCATGTAATGCCTGTCTGGCGGTGTTACAGCTTGTGATGCAAAAGTGGGGCTATATAGGTAACTAACTGAAGTACTGGATCATTCAGTGCCTAAGATTATAGTTATGGTAAGCGTATTTTAAAAAAAAAATCTTTTTTTTCCTGATGTCATAGAGTTCTCTGTGTTCAGCGGTGCTTGACTTTTGGGAAATAATTTGTAATTCCTGCATTTCCACATATGTGTACGTGTTTTAATGAGGAGAAGGAATTCCTGCTAAATAATAATCAAGTAACTATGAAAACTTCGTGTATATGTTTCTTGTTCCCTAACAGCACAACTTGGAGACTATAACGCTTCAATACATCATTCGGGATATCTGTCAAATTACAACTTTATACCCGAGCAGAACAAAGATTTTCTTACCAAAGTAGAATCACTACATGAGCAACACAGGTAATGCTAACTTTTGGTTCTCTCTCACGTCTTGAGTTTTTAAAGGAAGAAAAAAAAAAAAGAAAGATGCCAAAAGGAAGACTTGAGTTCTTAGTAGTTTCAGCACAACAGACAGTTTTACTTCAGATGAAATACTTGGTTTTATCATGTAGGTGCTGAACTAATATTCAGAGTATGATGCCAGTGTTTTAAAATGTTAAAATAAATTTCTAGCTATAACGACCAGTAGATCAGTTAACATTACAAATGATTAATGGCAACCATGTAGAACACTGTACTAGATGTTAGGGGATTTTTTGGATCAAAGACACTCGACCATTTGTCAAATCCTATAGACTTTTTTGTCTATTTATGGAAAAAAAAAACCTGACCATGAAACGCTTCAATTAACATTGTGCTTTCTCGCCACTCACCTGAGTGTAATATAAACTCTACAACAGATTATTCCAGTCAGTCCGCTGCCAATTACTCTTTCTGACCCTGCTGATTTGTCTCTTGTAAGACTGCAACTTTAGAATTAGTGGTGGTGATCAGATACTCACAGCCTGAATGCAAATCTGCCAACCTAAGAAATTGTATTTGAGCAAATGAAATCCAGATCTCTATGGACTTGTTCTGTCTGTCTGTATCTTTACTGCCGCAGAGCTGGTTGCCCACTCTCCTACTTTCTTTTGATTTATACCCTGAAATATCTCCATTTTCATCTCCTCCTGATATTCCTCGACATTTTTTTCTTTTTTGTCATCTTTCAGCACCGTCACCTCTCCCTCTTGTTTCTTTACTACTTTACTGCCAGCGGGTGTAGTGAGTAGATCTGAACTTCATGTCCCATTTCTGGGGTGAAAGAGAAATAACCACTGAAATCCACCCGCAGCTATTCCCTCTTTGTGGGTACTGATCTGGACTACTTTCCAGCAGTTCGTGTTCAGGAACGTAGCAGCTGAGGCCTCTACTCCTTCCAATTAATTTGCAGTTTCCGGTAGGCTCAGGAGTTTTCTAGAGGGGAAATTGTAGACAGGCGTGAATAAATCTGCATGCCCTTAGGAAGCAATCGTCTTGAAGACCACTGAGGGAAGTTTCTGAAGAGTCTTCAAGTGATTGGGTTGAACTCGTGTATTTAGGGCTATCATAGCCAGAGATACAAAACTGGTTATGTCCTGCAGAGAAAAGGCTAGAATTTATGATTGGTCCAGAAAAAGGTATAGTGAGGTCTGTTGGAAATATTCCTTTATTTTCTGAGTCCTTTCAGTGAAATCGTCGATTTCATTGACTGCTTTTGGTACAGTGAAGCCTTGATGACTGAGAAGTTTAACTGCTGTATTTTAATTCACATAGGTCATGATAATAGAAGTTCTGAATAAAAATACTTCAGTAGACTGGACTGGGAAAAATGTTTCTTTATTGTTTTAACACCTGTTTTTTTTTTTTTTTTTTTTTTTTGAAACTTAGCTCTCCAGGCCTATTTATTTTGGAACGCAGGGAGAGGTAGACACATTATTGTATATCCTGGCAGTATTTCTTGCATACTCCTTTGGCATTCATAGTGAATATTTATGTCTGAGGCATGGTTTTAACACACTTGACGTGTATGGTTCTGGTGTTCACCAGGCCTTCTGAGAATGAAAGACCAGAAAGGGAGAATTTCTTCTTACAGTTTGTGGAGAACAGTGTTGTTTTGGAATGAGATTTCGGATGATCTGGAGTAAACAATATTTGCTGTGGACCATACATGATATCTGTAAATTATTATCCCTTTTAAATTAGCATTCTTAGACTACAGGATTGCAAAGCCAGCCCTATAAACATCTTTTTTTTTTTTTTTTTTTTCCCCATTCTTTAGTGTCTATCCTTTAGGAAACTTTCACAAAGGAAAAATAAAAGGCTGGAATTGCTGAAACACGATACATACTTGAGAAGCTATGTTATGTCTTGTATGTTGTAGCTGAATGCAAGATTTTTTTATTTATTTTTTTATATTGTTTTTCAAAATCTGAGAAAGTAGTTCTATGAACATGTTCATATCAGACACTATTCAGTCGACAGTAAGCAGCTGTTGAGAAAGCAACTGTTGTCATATTGAACTGGTAGAGCTTCACAAGTCTTCCTTCTGTTTTTATTCCTAAATACATAGGGGGAATTTTTCTGTATGTAGTCTGTTCTAACAAGGTTTTCTTACTGGTTTTTGCTTAGTACATTAGCAGCCTGAAGTCTTAGGATGTGGATATTATCCAAATCGGTAATGTTTTTGTAGTGCTTGCTACATTTAGCCATCAGTTTGAGGAGAAGGATGCATTTGAAACTTTATATGATGCTTATATTCCAGACGATATTTGTTAGCCCTTGGGTATTAACAGCTATAAAAATTGGAAGGAGACACCAAGACCAGTTTCCTCTTGCCTGTTTGTCTTGCCAAGTAACGACCACCTGCTTAGGGACCTCAAGGTTTCATTTTATCTCTAATTGAGTAGGGAGGTGTAACAACAAGAAAAAAGACTTTAATCTGTGCTGAGATACTTTTTCTTGTTGACCATTCAAGACACAAGGCTTGACTGGTCTGGTGCAGACAGTGTATGCAAATGGAGAATGAAAATTTGCAGACATATCTCGTTGGTATGCAACAGACTTTCCCCACCTTTCTGAACAAAGTTCTTGATCAAAATTTAAAAGATTATAATATACTCTTGCAAACAAATTCAGCATCCTGTTGGCTAATAAAAGTAATTTTGTGGTTTTTTTCTTTGTGACATAATGAAAGAGATAAGGTCTACTAATGCTTTTCAAAACCCAGGTGACAGTTGTCACCATAGATGTAGGTCTGAGTAAGCAGTTTATCTCAGGATGGTGACAAACAGCTCTTTTTTTTTTTTCTTTGCTCTTTTTTCCAATATTGTGACATCCTCAAGCCACGCTGCTGGCAATGCTTTCCACTTCAAGGTAATTTTCAGTTTCATGAAGATTGATGTAATATTTCCTAGAGTGGCTGTTTCAGGGCATAGTATTTTGATGGCCTGGAATTTGAAAGGATGGATGTTAATTGGAAGTAATAGCTGTCTACCGTTTGAGGTCAAGCCTCTTTTAAAAATAAGAATTGCTGCCTTATGAGGAATGCCTTTGGATCTGGAGTTCTTAACACAATGCTGTGTCAGCTTTTTAGAGGTTGTATTTGAAGTGCGTTTGATGAATGTAATTTTATGTGTGTTGGTTTGGATGCTCACCTAACAAAGAGTTGCAGATACAATAGGATGGTATTGGATGTCTTTTCTACTTAGATATGTGTAGATATTACATGCATTCCTCAGCCTCTATTCTTGCAGTTACTTGAACACGCTGCAGTGCCTGAATCGCTGGTCTGTGCTGTGAGCCCGGGATCACTGTGGGCACAGCACAACGTCAATAGGCTATGGCATTTTCCTGGTTAGAGCTGCCTCTTGTCTGATCAGTTCTCGACTAGTCTTCACCCTGCAATTTCTTGGAAGGGGCTACTTTCATTATCATGCCTAAAGAATCTTGTTGAGGCCACACTGCATTCCTCTCAGATGAATAATTAGTAGGCTGCATGGGAGAACCAGCTAGGTAGGGATTACTGTTGGATTCTTTGGTTTTTTAGAACTCCTAGTAGATTCCAAGTAGCCCTTCCATGAAGATATGTAATCTGTTTGTAGCCCTTCCGTGAAGATATGTAATCTGTTTGTTCAAGATGTGGAGATTTTTGAGTTTTTGTCTCCGGGGGAAAAAAAAATCAATCTCAGCATCGTAGAAGCTTTCTAGAAGACCAGAATGTGTCTTGCAGCACATTTCACGTCTAACAGTGGGTGAAAATAGTATTATAGGACTTGTAGATAAACTCAGATGGCTTTTCCTCAGTGAGTTTCATAACTTCAACTTATTTAATCTTAGAATCATAGAATCATAGAATCATAGAATGGTTTGGGTTGGAAGGGACCTCAAAGATCATCTAAGTTGGAAGGGATCTTAAAGCTTATCTAGTCCCCCCCCCCCCGCCACAGGCAGGGACACCCTCCACTAGACCAGGTTGCCCAAAGCCCCATCCAACCTGGCCTTGAACACTGCCAGGGATGGGGCCTCCACAACCTCTCTGGGCAACCTGTTCCAGTGCCTCACCACTCTAACAATAAAGAATTTCTTTCTAATATCTAATCTAAATCGACCCTCCTTCAGCTTAAACCCATTACCCCTTGTCCTGTCGCTACATTCCCTCATAAACAGTCCCTCACTGTTCTTCTTTCTCTCCTTATTTTTTTAGTACCTTCCTGCTTCTAATCTTTCTTCTAACTTACCTTCTTCTGAGAGACTATGCAATATAGAATATTTACAGATACATCATCTTGTTATAAAGGAAGCTTTTATAGGGAAATTGTTTCCTGATCCCTTTAAACAAAACAAATACAAATTATTTTTCTAAAAAGAACTGGTCCAAAATGGCTAAGGTAATAACATTGTGTACAATTTGCTAGATTTTTGAGAGGAGTTTAGGAAAGTGAAGAACTCATGGTACTGGTTAATGAGTTTTATTTGTCAGACACCAGGTTGTGGGATTTTTCTGGTTTTCTGCATTTGGAATAAATACAATATCTTGTCTTTTATTTTTGACTATGGTCCATATTTTTTTCCCCTCTTTTAGTGGCCTCAAGCAATCTGAAGCAGAGTCCTGCTACATAAATATAGCACGAACACTTGAATTCTATGGAGTGGAATTGCACAGTGGTAGGGTATGTTTACATTGTGATTTTTCACTTGGAAAAAAAAATATATCTGCTTTTTTTACATTAACTTAATAGCAGTAAAACCAGTAGCATTTAAGCATTGACTTTATCATGTGTTATTTTTAATCAAAGAGTTGGGTAATTTTACAGTAATTCTGTGTAACATAGGTGCTGGAATTTCAACCAAATAAACTAGATCTCCTCAAAAGAGCAACAACGTATTTTTAAGATAAATTGTTTCAGTACTGCAATATATTTTGCTTAATAATTTTACTAAAGTTTATTAATGTCTTAGCATGAAAGAAAATGAATACTGTAGTGCTATGATGTAGTTGGCAGGTGTTTTAAATTTACTTTCTCTGGATTCCTAACAGTGTTAAGAGTATAGAGGGGGTTTTGTGTGGTTTTTTTTTAATTCCTGTATTCCCTGACTCCAGGCTAAATCTAAGCAGTATTTAACAGCATGGAAGATGACCACTAAAAATGTATTTGAAATCTTTCAGATACAGGGTGTGCATTGATTAGAAGCATGTCCTAGTATTTCACCGGCTACTGGGATTTAATTGTATGATTACACTAGCTGTCTGAAATGAATCCACCAAATACTTTTTCTGTCACCTTTCTGCTGCATTGAAGAACCCTTTACTGTCACCCTTGAGATTTCCCTACCTTGAGATTGCCCTACATGCCCGTAATTTGATCAGTCTATGCTTTTCAACTTCTGTTGTAGCCTAGTATTTTGATAAGCCAACTTAAGTTCAGCAACTTTCACCATGAGGCTATTCTCTTAACATTCATGGGATGCTGTTTGTGGAAGTTCTTCAATTTCCAGCCTCCCTCCTGAGTTGTAGGCTGCTGAACTACATCCAGGATGTTAGTAGTGGTCATACCAGAGCCAAGTAGTAAGGATAGTTTAGAGTGGGTTCAGACATTTTCAACTAAATGAAATTTCATTGTGGTGTATTGGGCTGCTCTGAGTAGAAATACCTTCTGGAAATATTTGCTTAAACAGCGTATTTTTATTTTTTTTTCCAATGACTGAGGCTCATAGGTTGTCAGAATATTAGTCGTGAGCCACTACTCTGCCTGACACAAAACTGTATAATCTGAATCAAATAGAATACAGATTTGAATCAAAGCCTTCTCTATTCCAGGCTGCTACGATGTAGACTGTCTTGCTACTGTTTCAATCCAAATTAATATTTTTATCACAATACAATTTTTCTGAAGGATGAAAATATTTGAAGTGGTCTGTTTTTTTCTGGCTCTTGAACTGGACATCTAGAGAATTAGAAGCTGCTAGGAGGGAATAGAAAGCAAAATAGAAAATGTTATACCACTTTTTAAATCTATGCTTTGTTTAGTACTGCTTTTATATCACCCCTCAAGTTTTGTCAGATCCCAGTGCTTTGAACGGATTTAGCAGGGACTAGTTAAACTGCAGCTTTTTGAGAGGCTTTATCTCTGTGGATCCTTACGATTCATCTCTTTGCTGCTGAAATAGTCTTAAGCCTCTTAGATCGTATATGGCAGAGGAACCAGGTAACACCTGGCTTTTATACTAATGAGAAAAAGAAGCTGGTGCTCCTCTACTGGTGGTTGAGAGTGGGATATTTTTGAGTAATGTTTCTTGAAGAACAGGTGAATATCTAGTTTCCTTGATTTTAATGTTTTATGGTGCAAAGTTAAATATTTTGCAGAAGTCGACTCTGAGCTTTCTTTTTAGCAACTTGCTAAACATGAAAGTTCTATTAGTGAATTAATCTGAGCTCAGTTCTCATCTGCTTTTCTCTGAGGTTAAATTTGACCTGCTAAAATTGTAATATTAAAAAACGAAATAGTATTAAGAAATGCAGGAGAATGAATTGAATACCTTTAAACTGTATTGAGATTTCTTGGATTTCTAATCCCCCTTTGACTCTGGACCACTATCTCATCTGCTCAATAATTAGTCTGTTGTTAACTCATCTTTCATTTTTACTCAGAGAGAGGAAGATAGGAAATTTATAGAATCAATATTATTTCCATACCTGCAGAAATCCAGATGGTAATCGTAAATGAAATCAAATGTGAATCGGTATTTAACTAGCTAGATGCCTGGTAGGATCATTTTTCTTTGTAATTTTTTCAATGATTATAAATGAACAGGTAAAAAGAAAAGTATATGCATGTCATTTCTTAGTTGTGCAATTTAAGGGCATAGATATTTTGAAAGGGAAATAACTGCACATCTGCATCATCTTTCTTTTGGGAGGCCCTCTTCCTTTATGCCAGTCCAAAATCTCTTTTCAGATTTCTTAGGTTTAACACAAGAGAATTCATTATAACAAATAGCATGGGAGGTTAGTGTTTTGGACTGGGGCAGAGGGGGATGGGGAATGGACTTTGTTCTGACAAAGCTGCTGAAGAAAATGGAGTAGTTTAGCCTAATTAATCCCTATCAAGTGCTTAGCTAATACTTTATTTCTGCTTAATCATGTAGGTTTTCAGCTTTTTCTCCTTCAGTTGTTTTTTTCTTCACATTATTGATTTTTAAATCAGGAACCTGGAATAAGCTCCATGTGCCAATAATACAGGTTTCTGCCCTGCTGTAGGTTGGCTCTATCATGGCAGGGGCAGCTAAATTACATAGAGTTCGTCTCCTGAAATACCTTGGTTTTCTCCCCAGGTGTTAAAGGGGTGCAATTCTAGATTCCTGTAATATGCTGGCATAAACTTCTGATGGAGATTCAACCAGCTCCTCTAGCAGCAGTTCTTGGCAAAGCGGGGCAGTAGGTTGCTGAGAATTATTAATAATTTCAGCTGATTCTGGGCTACCGGGATGTTAAGTGTATTTGGACTGCTACCTACCTAATGATTTGCTTTTATTATACTCTGAGGTAGGACTGATATTCCTCTCACCTTGTCAGTATTCAGTGTTAATGCACTATGTATTAAATAGGCTATGCTCATTCTCTATGAACTGCAGTGGTATTTCACTGGAGGTTTATAAATCATGTTGCAAATTAGGTTCAGCTTCATTCGTTCATATGCCTGTATCACATTTCTATTCAACTATTTTTAAAGGATGTATTGTAGACTTTCTACATTAGTATAAGAGCACATGCGATCTGGTTTATTCTTCTGTACCTTACTAATATATAAAGAAATTGGGATTGGGACATACAAGAAAACTGGAAATAAACTGGGCACAGAGTACCATCTAGTGGAGCAGCTGAGCTACTGAAGGCTTTAGGAGAATTCATTACCCTTGGCTATCCTTTACAAAATAATCTGAAACTACTTTTGAGTCACACCTGGTGTTTTAACCAATTGCTTCTACACTTACATGTAGATTTATGCATGTGTTCAGCTCTGTTTAGAAATTTGTGTAAAAGTGTATTAGTACAATTTGATCATAGAGAAGTAGGAAGCCAAGATTTGTAACTTTTGTAACATCAGTTTGGGTTTAGAGTCAAATTGACCATTCAGCATCCTCTTGACCCTCTTTTTTTTTTCTTTTAACTCAAATGTTTGCTTATATGTAAACATGTGTTTCCTCTTGAGTATCTCAATAGCTGTAAAGGATTGTAAATTTATGGATTCGTTTTTCCAGTTGAGCATGTTAAGCTAATACACAGGTTTTTGTTTAGTTAACAATGGATTCAATTTAGTGTACCAAATATTCACACATGTATATTCCTCTAGCATAGTGTCATATGTAGAATTGTGGTCACTTCCTGCCCAGTCTTTGTTGGTAAAACATTTTTGGAAAAAAATAAGGAATTATTTCCTTTGTCTTTCTAAACAGCTTAGAATCAGGACATTTGTGTTCAGTTCCCAAAATTCTGTGATATTTATCAGACTGATCTTGGGAAGTACTTCAACTTCTTTCCTATGGTTAAGTTAGTAAGGCTGGACTGGTCTGATACTGACCTAAAGAATATCTAGTGTAGTAAGATAAGCATTACAACTTGTTTTAATGAGTGAAAGTTTATAATACCTATTAGATAACATCAAAAGAAAGAGATGAGAGAAAGAAAATCCAGATGTATGGTTATTTTTTTGCCTCAGGAGTAGCAATTTAAGTATAGAAAACTTGAAAATTAATTTATAAGTAGATAAATGGGAATGACATAAACTGCATCTGTGTTCTTAGAGTATTTTTCTTTTGCAGGATCTCCATAATCTAGATCTCATGATTGGGATTGCATCCGGTGGAATTGCTGTATATAGAAAACTCATCTGCACAAGCTTCTATCCCTGGTAAATTCCTATACTAGTAAAGAAATATATCTTGTCTTTTCAATCTTATTTCCATTTGCTTTAATGTTTATTCCAAAGAAGTCTACAATACATAAATTTGTTCTTTATGGAGTATCATGGTATTTCTGTGTGTTGAGATAAAAATGAGACCTGTTGCGTAGGCTTTTCATTCTCTGAGACTTTTGAACTCCTTGCACTGTGTGAAGTCTTGATCAAGTTAATTCACATACAGGTAGGTGTACATGATCAGGGGGACCCTGTGGTGATAGAGATTTGCTGCTGTTATAACCAATAATATCTTTTTTTAAAAATCGGTATTACTAGTAAAGCTCAACAGCTACTGGTCTGATCATTTTATCCTGTCATTCAGCAAGAAGATATTTGCTTCTCAGAAAAGAAATGTAAAGTGAGTTATTTGGAGTTTCAGATTTTTTAGGATAATATAATTTAGACAAATTTTACATGTCATCAAACTAGGCTATATAATGGTAACAAGTTTTGGAGTCTCTGGGGGAGAGACCTTTGCATTATTCTATGATACTGAAAACATCAGTATGCTTGATAGTGCTGTAGAAAATAATATCTATGAAACAATGTGCACAAGAAGTCTAATTTGAATGACATCATAAATTAGTTAAGCTATAATTATTTGTAGTACTTATGGACTTTATTTATGCTATACTAAAAAATATAACATAAATTAGAAGTTATATGGAGGCTGGGCATTTCCTTAAGTTTTTTTGGATTGGATCAGAAAGAATTTTTTCCAGTCTTTATTAAAAGAAGTATAAATTTGTTTTGGATACTTTGATAAAGTAAAGCTTTATCATGTTATGCATAATTTCCTCCTATAATTTGTAACAGTTTCTGGAGAACTTTTTTAGTAAGATGGCATAGTATTCTTGAGCATGACAGAAACATGCATACTAATGGGTTGTACTTGCTTCTTGCCCCTTAATTATGTAAAAAGCAATAGTCCTTAAATACTCAAGTCATTCCATGCTTTCATTATGAACCCGACCTAACAGGTATTTCCTATGGCAAAGCTATAAAATAGGTTTCAATTTAAATTTTAGTGGAAATTGTGCTGCACAGCCTCTGGATTTATCTTTTTTCTTCTATGCAGTGAGTTGTCTTTCAGCTCACTTGAACGTACTGTAACCATCCTAAATGTATGTCAGTAATGCTCTCATACACCACAGTGACATCTTGTATTTTTCCATCTCCAATGCACACTGAAGTATAAAAGACTTTTATCTTTCATCTTTGTGCCCTGAGCTCTGCCCTTTCATATGTCAATCTCTCAGCTTCTTTAAACAGCTGCAGGTTTTAAAACTGCCAGCTGAAGGCACGTTTTCTGTCTTCTGCAAGTCTTGTTCTGCCAATTTAGTGACCTAAGGTATGAATGGATAATAGTGATTCCTGAAAAACATAGCGATGACATTTTAAAATCCAGGACTAGATGATTTTTTTATTTTTTTTTTAGTGAAGGGAAAGGAAAGAGAGCTTTATAGCACACAAGAGAGGAGGAATCCACAACTTCCTGTGCTACTTTTACTCCTGGAGAGCAGAGAGGAATAAAACACAGATGCTTAAACATCACTCACTAAAACCTATTCTCATTTACAAAAAGAAATTGAGGAGGAAAAAAAAAAAACCACAGATTTTTCAGTTCAAATAATTTCCATTCTAAAATATGAGGTTTAGGCAACAATATTTTCTGATGACAGCTAATGCAACTTTTTCAAAGCTTTCTTGCTCTATCTCTAAAAATATCTCCTCAACTTGACAGGAGCAAAAACTCACTACATAGGGGGAGATACCTTTCTGATATTTGATTTCTGCCTTCTTGAATGAGTTAGTCATAATTCTTCATGCCAGAATGGTGTCCATTCCATGCCCTCCCAAAACAAGCAAGCAAGGAAAATCACCAGAGCAGACTAGCCTGTGCTGTATTGGAGGTATACATTTTCAATTTCTTTGTAGACCTCAAAGCAGGATGTATTTCTTTAATGCTTAGAGTTTTAATGTATCTCGGTTGGCCTGAAGGTGAGCAGGCAGGGAGATTCCTTACAGAACAGTATATGCCTGAGAATGCAAAAAACCCGCATTCAGATAATTTGAATGGTATTTAGGCATTTTATGTAACACTATTTGTAGTAACTAGTTTTTCCTGTGGGTTGAGCAAGCTTCACCATGAACGTGGTAAAACTCAAGGTGGCAGCAAACACCATCAAAGCACTCC